ATATAAATAAAATGTTCATATAAACAATTATGTTGCTTATGCAACAAAGTCTTTGGCCTGACAACCAGATGGCGTCATAAATAAAAAATCTCTTTATTTTTGACAAGTACCACCTGTCTTCACAATACTGTCAAATTTTAAGCCCAATCCGTGCATTTGTTCACAAGTTACAGGCATAAGTATCAAGCAACTTTTGAGATTTTTCAAATAATGGAAAAAAGTGAATTTCGAGTCCTGATTAAGCACTGCTTTTTAATGGGAATGAATACCGTCGAAGCAAAGGAATGGCTAGATAAGTGCTACGGCATCTGTTCACCACCCAGTTCAACCATCAAATACTGGTTTGCTGAATTTCGTCGCGGGCGTACATCCACCGCTGATGCTGAACGATCAGGTCGCCCAAAAGAGGCAATTATCCCCGAAATCATTCAACAAGTCCGCCGCATGTTATTGAATGATCGAAAAGTGAAAGTGCGTGAGATAGCTGAGTCCACAGGCATATCAACAGGGTCAGTGGTTACAATAATGAGCGGATGTGAAGAAATCAAGTCTCTTTGAGCCGACGGTGGCGCATCGAATTTCAAAGGGGACGTCAATGTAATTTTACAACTCAAATCGAAACTAAACAGCGCGCCAATTTTAAAATTTGCTGTCATTTCCTCCCATTGGGTTACAATTATGCATCAACATTTGCACATGAAAAAGCTGCTTGCTATGTGGGTGCCGCATTTTCTCAACATCGACCAAAAAGAACAACGAATCAATGATTCTCAGCGATGTTTGGCATTGTATAATCGCAATCCAAGGGAATTTTTGCGTCGATACATCACGATGGATGAGACTTGGGTCCATCACTACGTACCACAAGACAAACGTCAGTCTGCGGAGTGGGTAGGACCAGATGAAAGACCTCCAAAGCGTGTGAAGCAAGATCGATGGGCTGGCAAGGTATTCGCCAGTGTTTTTTGGGATGCGCATGGGGTAATATTCATCGATTATCTCGAAAAGGGTAGAACGGTCAACAAAGAGTATTATATAGCCTTGCTTGACCGTTTGAATGATGAAATAAAGAAAAAACGTCCGCATTTGGCAAAGAAAAAAATTCTTTTTCATCAAGACAACGCAAGACCACACAAAGCCCAATTGACGATGGAAAAATTTGATGAATTAGGATGGGAATTGCTTCCTCATCCACCGTATTCTCCAGATCTAGCCCCCAGCGACTATTATCTGTTTTCAAACTTGAAAAGGTGGCTTGCAGGACAGAAGTTTTACTCAAATGAAGAGGTTGGATGGCAAACTGATGCCTATTTTTGGGGACTCGACAAAACTCATTATTCGAAAGGCATTGAAATGTTACCCGAGCGCTGGGCCAAGTGTGTTCAACTCGACGGGGATTATATTGAATAATAAAAATGATTTTTGATCAAAAATATGTATTTTTTATTGTTAGGCCAAAGACTTATTGAACCACCAAATATATATATGAAATGATATGAAATGGGGATGAAATCCATGACTGTTCTGATGAATGTGGCTTTTTGGTTTTATGGAATTACTTTGTTCTGCTTTTTCATTTTCATGTTACTTGTATCATGTGTGCAAATATTTGTGTATATGTCAAACTTTGCCACACATATCATTCTTATCTTTCCGTGTGAGCGGAGAAATTGTTGAACTAACTGGGTATAGTCTCGGTTGTACGGTTCAGCGCCTAAGATTAACTGAAAATTGCACTACTCTATGAATTTTACGCGACAGTTCAAATGAACTAAATGCTGCACCATTACCATCAATGCTATCCCAGTCTAATCCCCGCGATCACATTTCTTAATTAATTCCAACTCTTTTGCAATATTGTATTCCAACACATGGATAATATTCCCGCAACGAATATCTCTATGTAACTATTTTTAAAGTAAATAATGAATGCGACTAGAAGCACATCGTGAGCATTGGAAATACAATCAAAATGAACATCTCATTCCTTTTATTGTTATTTTTGTCACTCTGTGCGGTGTGTTGACAATATAATATGTTGGCTCCGGTGTCATCATGCAAAGTACAATTGTATTTTATTTTAGCGTTATATCGTACATTTCATTTCACATTATCCAAGTCAGTATTGCCCGTTAAACATGATTATCACTATTAAATCGCTCAATTCCACTTGACTATTATTCTTTGAACGGTGCGTTTGGTTGCGTGTGAGATTTACTTCATGTGAAGTACAGAGAACGCACGTCTACGTTGAATTTCTTTGTTTCTTCATTTTCCGAATAATTTTCAGCAATTTTCTTTCATTGGCTGTGTGAAGTAAAATTATAGTTGCCAACATTGTGATTTCTGTGCCCAAACTCACATTTCAAATGCAGTAGAGCAAAGATAAACACCACTTGGTGCTTGTATGAAAGTAAACGACTCAACGCACACACATCATAGATAAAATGTGAAAACATATAATAATAATAACAAAAAAAAGAAGAAAATAAAGCAAAAAAAATTAGGGTCCAATATACTGGTGCGACACACAGACTCCGCAATGAAGTCGCGCACGCTTTAGAAACTTTTCAAAGAAAAAAAAGAACCAACAACAACGAAACACACATAAAATAATAATTGTTTGTTGTATGAGAGGATAAATAAATAAGAGATACGCGTGCATTCAATTTAGGTATGTAACGCCCTCATCAGTTGTGTGCCGTTTACTTTGAAGAAATGTTGTCTGTTCAGAGATGTCTGTAAGTACGTACAATTATGCTTTTTTGTTCTCTTTTTCGTACATTTTAGCTACCAACTTGCTACTCAAAATCATCATCTTCAGCACTAAAGTCATGTCAAAATCAGAACCTTTTTTCAAAAGAAAACGAAAAAAAATGTGCGAACGTTTGAGGCATGTTTACGGTTCGTTCTTGTGATTCTATTATTCATTAACTGTTTTTTAGCGAAAATTATGTGAATTTGATCATTCATTCGCTATTAATATATGACTGAAGAATAAATTACATTATTCGGAATGTTCTCCGCTTTTCACATTTAATATTGTCATGCACGCAAACATTTAATTTGCAAATTTTCCATCACTTACTGATGCATAACGTTCGAATAAGTACACTGACAAAACTAAGGTTATGATTTTGACAACACCGTGTTGTAAATGCTTACATTCCAACGAATGTTGTGAAGTAGCCAACAATTGTTGTCATTGTGAATACGTACAATGGCATATATTATATGTATTCACAACGACAACAATTGTTGGCTACTTCACAACATTTGTTGGAATGTAAGCATTTACAACACGGTGTTGTCAAAATCATAACCTTAGTTTTGTCAGTGTATGATGTTGCTTGAACTACCGTTGCCATGCCAATAAAGTACACAACATTAAAAACAACTTGAAGAGATAAAATTCTGCAAAAATTGCAGAATATCATTGTCTTCGAATATGTATTTGATCAGTCACTGTAAGCACTCGAGCAAAATGGAAATACTCTCCTCTATTCTATAAACAGCAACTTTTAATGCTCGGTGTTTTTCTAACGGATTTCTTGACACGATTTAAATTAATAAAACTTTCTGTCATAATCGGCTTTAATAAGTGCGAATCAATCACTTTAAATTATTTCTCGCTTACTGTTGGAATCTAATATTCAATTGAAGAACATCTTCTTTTTTGCCAGGGAATTTGCGCAAATTCATTGAAACATCCATTTCAGTTTGCAGTTCGTTTGGTTTTCAGTTTAAATTGAAAAAATTGTACAACTTAATAGATTTATTTTCAACTGCTGAGTTCGCCGTAAAGTTTGTGTTTTATTTCTTTGAGGAAGGGAAATGTCCTGATTCGACACATTTATTAATTCCTCTCATAATTGCTCGGCTAGTGTCAACATTACTACAGTAAGTAAGTAACTTTTGCACTTCAACTGGTTTTTGTACACAATAGACTGTTGGTTGGTTTGTATATGTGTATTTTCATCACTTGACCGTCATCGTCATTATGAGGTGAAAAAAGCAGCAACTTGAATTTTTGAAAGTTCACAAAATATGCTATTTGATGGAAAATTTCGATTAAGTGCCAGAATCTCTTTATAAATTCAATCATAAATTCTTACGCCTGAACAACTTAATAAATTACCATTGAAAGGGCAAAAGAGAAAATTGCATGTTATGATGTTCGGTAACAGTTTAACGCAGAGTAATCTTTAGTGTTTTGTAACATGGGAATTTTGGCTTTTGAAATTTATTAGTTTATAAACCAGTCAATAAATTTCGAATGCCTCTAGAAAATGCTCAATGAACAACTATAGACATTTTTCTTGCGTCAATTACAAAGAGCTCAACCGAAAATGGGTAAAGTTTTTGCCCATTTGACATAAACGTGGCAAGGAAGAATATTTCCGTGTTCACTTTTTCGAAGCCACATAAAATGCTTTGTGCGTTGTAAATCGTTTATGAACTTGAAAGACTAACATTATTACTTGTGTTTGTGAATGTGTGTGTATGTTATTTTGTAAATACCAAAACAATGAACGACTGACTAACTCTTCAATTTCTCGGCAAAAATTCGACACGAAGTTTATATTGACGATTATTTCGACCGAAATCAAAGCCAACTCTCTTTAACAGTCAACACAATAGAAAATCACATGCAAGAACCTATTGCATCAACGAAGTGCGCGTTGAGCGTGTAGCTTACACAAATACATTGGCTGAAGAAAATTCATAAGATGCTTGGATCTTTTATTAAATAGCAAAACCCTTAAAAACAAACATACTTAACCGTTCGAAAATTATTTTCACTGCTCGAATCTGTGAGCGGCGAGATACAACAATAGCAGCAAATGGCAGTTGATGACGACGACAATGTCTTATGCACAGATCTATTCAAGCACCCAAACAATCTTTCGAGGAAGAAAATGTTTCGTTCTATATTGTTTTTTTTTTTTGCTTTTCGTTTGTCAAAATGAAACGACGAAGCAGAATGAAATAAAACACTGCATAAACTAATACAAAAGTTCTTACGAAATTCCATTTCATAAAGAATGCCGTCAAGTTTCAGCAAGTATACAAACAAACACACTCAGCTAGAGAAAGAGAGAGTTGTCGAGAGAGTAAGAGTATGTCACTGTGTGTGACTGACAAGATCTGAAATTATAAAGACGACCAAAAAAGAAGAATAAGAAGACTACAACAGTAACGGCGACACAGCCAGAATAAGAACATGAATACCAAAAAGCACATAGTAACAAAGAAATAAAATGGAACGATTGAAATTACAAGAATTTTTAGAGAAATTTTTATGCTTTTTCACTTGATTCGGATCTTATCGAAAGCGGCAAACTTTGTAGCAATACCATTAACATTTATCAGCATTTTCTCTTGCTATCATCAGATATAAACAAGGAATTTTATTTTTTTTTTCCTTTGAATTTAAAATATTATATTGTATGTATGTGGATGTGTCTACCGCCAAACACACTTCATCGCCTTAAATCTTTTTTACTTAAGAATCATTTCAACGACTCTACCTCAATCACTTGTCGCATGAATGTGATTAATAAATGCGTGAAAATTTTTCCGCTAAGAACACGAAACATTCATGTAATGTTTAATTTCGTATGTTATTTCTAGGCATTTCGTAATGAAATAGCGAATAAAACGCTATTCGTAAAACCGATAAATTGGTGTGCTTGCCGAACTTGTGATGAGTATGTAAACATGATAATTGAATACGCAATTGATGCGGGCGGAAACCACAACAAACATATGGAAAATTCAATGATACCATAAAAACAATACCAATTAGAAGTCCATTGAACAATGTAATACCGACGAGACGATAAATCCAACTATCAAAAGAAATAGAAACAACCATTGACAGAGGCATAAGAATACAATGAAGTTTTTAGATAAACTGCAGTTGTGATGAGAAATTGCGTCAATGTCGCCTGTTTGGAAGTCAGCTCATGAATCAATTAGACTGTTTCGCCGAATCTTTCATTTGTGTTTGGACCGAAAAACGAGTTAAACATAGCTTTGTAGAATGGAAAATAACTTGAACATTTTCGGTTTTCAACTGACAAGAAAGGCATCAAAGAAAAACAATTTAAACGAAAGATTCTCAGAAGTTTAAAACACAAATACACCGAAAATGTGATCATTGTAAATGCAATGAATATTTATCACGACAAATGAATGAATCGTTGTGGATGTCATTGTGGCTACAATAACACAACGATGAATCTTTGTTTATCAAATAAATAAAGTTCGCAATTTAAACCAATTTAAATATTGAATCATTTGTAATAAGAAATGATCCAAACACGAACACACAGCCAATTCGAAGATTTAAAAAATCGAAATGATGTGTTTGGTCCGTGTGCAATATCATGCAAGGATTAAATGTTGTGCATTCAATATTGTAGTGTGCCATTTAATCGTTATGCAGCAAGCAGCATCAACAGCATTGTAGCGAATGAATAATTGGCTATCGCAACTAATGCTGTAACAATTTTCGTGTGCAGTGAGTGTTTGCGCTGGTGATTGCGCGTGTGTGCGTGTGTAGAGAGGGCATATTTAATTTATTGTCTGGGAAAGTGTCATTTGGCACATACAGTGTTTGATACGTATGTTGTGCGCTTGTGTGTTAATGTTGTGATGTTACTGTGCATCCAGTCATCGCTGTTCTGCATTCGCGCATCCGGTCTTGCTCTCTCTGTCTTACGTTTCCTTTAACATCTGTGAACTGATGTTGGGTGTGTGTGTGTACGATTTTATTGTGTATGTATGTGCGTGAGCTCATCGTGTTCGCAGTCTGGCGACGAGTATAAAAAGACTGCATAGCGAGTTTTGAATCTCTTTCATTCTTCGTGTGTCGCTATCAACTATTATCCATCTTTTGGTAAAGCTCAACATCCAAAAGCCCCACTGAAGAAGAAATGGATATCGGAAAAAG